CTAAAAGCTTCAGTTCCTTTCTATTGAAAGAGGGAAAACAGGAGTGATGCCTAGAGAATATCATAACTTGTGTTCTTGCAGCCAGAAGTCTACTGCTTACTGCTACCCTGTCCCTTCTCTTGTCAGGTTTTGCTTGCAATTAGCCCTTTGACTCAGAGTAGCTCTTTCTGTACTGACAGCATACAAAATAGTGTGTGAGAGACAGGTTCATTGACAAAATATGACCACATTTCTTGGCAGTTTTCCTGTTGTATTATTATATGAAGGAATTACAGCCACTGAAATCTGCAGTATTCATTTTGGTCTTTGATCCAGTGGTTTTCAGTCCTTTATCTGTGCAAGAGCTTTCTCTTGTGTGGTTTGGCTTGCTTGTTTTTGTCCTTCTGATTGCTTCTAAGCCCAGATGGTCTCTTAAACATATCTTTCATACTGACAGAGGCACAGATTCCAGGAGCATCCCTGCTTCTCCCAAGTTATCTGCTGCTATCCTGTACCTGGGAAAGTACTGTGGACCCATGAGAAGTGTCAGGAGCACTTCCCAAAAGCTCACATACAAATCCTTCTGAAGACAGCTGTATTCCTAATTGTACAGTAATGCAACCATAGATGACAATGCAAGAAGCACTAGGCCATAGTTGGTGAAGGAGTAAGCTCTGCAAACTTGATATAATTTGGCTTACTTTAACCCCCTTTTGTGCAAACTTGAAGTGCACACAGCTCGTTTGCAACAGTTCAGGTAGCATATAATTTGTTGACCTGTAGCAATACAACTTTGTCTGAATCCCAGGCCCTCTATTTATCAACTGTGTTTCTGTTTCCATTAAAAAGCTTCAGAGATCCTTGCTGGACTTGTTATACCTGGATTTCAAGGCATACCATTCCTGCACAGCCAGGTGCAGCCCCTCCTGGGTCACAAGGAGGGCATGCTACCAGCAAGTCAGCTACCAAACCCTGATGGCACAGCTGATGAGCTTGGTCCAGTCCTTCCTGCCAGCCTACAGAAAAGTTGGCAGAATGAGAATGGTGTCACTGAAGCTGCCAGAGGAGCAGTCCTGGCTTCATCTCTTCACTGTGTTATTGCTTAACTTCCCCTTTTCAGGCATCTGTGTTCAAATGGTAATCATGCACCATCAGCTTCTTCTCCAGATGGGAAGGAATGGTGAATTTGGGTCCCCAGAGAATGGAGCTCAAACAGACACTGTGCTCCCTCTGAGAGAGGTCAGCACTTTCCCACTTTAAGAAATGGTTGTCCAGTCTCCTGGACAGAATAAGGAAAGTCCCTATATTACCATATTTGCCTCATCCAAAGGGCTGATGGTTATGTCTTTCTTAGGGTTTTCTGAGATGCTTTAGAGGTGGGCTGATGGTGTTAAGCTCCTGGCAGAAAATTGCTGTAGTTGGATCTTTCTCCCATACACTATAGGGAAGACAAACTACCACCTTCAGGGACTGTAAAAATGATGTGTAACCAGTCCCATGCTTCACATAGATGTTTGTTTGTTTTACAGGTATTGAATGGAACCTGAAATTTGTCAGAAGAATTGTAATTGATTTAATTTATGATGATTTTATTTATGATGCCCTGCAAGCCCCTGGATTTACCAAAATGCAGCTATCTCACTGTGACTCAACACTTTTAATAACATATTGAGGGTGGTGTTCTAGGTTCAGAGGTCCAAAGGTATTTAAATACATAGTTCCTATTCAGATTAATGAAATCCTGCATAAAACAGTGCAGTCCTTATGTGTTTTATTATCAAACATTGTCATATCTTTATGACAAAACCACATGGTGTGGTTATTGCATTCAGATCTGTCATGGTGGGGTTCTGAGAACTCCTTCCTGGTTCAGCCAGGTTGAGTGTGATGGAGTAATTCAGGACAGGTACAATGGAGTGCCCAAAGATGGATTTAATGTTCACAGAGACTGCATGGTCCAAAGGGCTGCTTCCAAAGACCTGGGGGCATGGTTAACCCAGCATTACATATATGGGAGTATCTGAGGGCGAAGGTCCAATTGCAAAGGTGGACAAGGGACACGACTTACTATGGAATTACTCCATTAGCATCCCCTCAGCACCCCTCCTCCCAAGGCCTCAGGTTTATTCTCTCCCTATCAGGAACCTGGTCCAAAGTGTTATCTCCCTCAGCTAATTCAGTTCCCACATCTGCCCCTACTCTTTGAATTGTAAAGACCTTTGGTAAAGATTTCTGAAAAATCCTTAACAGACAACTGGAAAAATAGAGTAGCAACATAAACACAACAACAACTACAAAAATCATTAAACCTGTTTTGACTAGAGTCCAACTACAGAAGTTCCATTTACTGAATAGTCCATTGAACCAGTCACTGTCATCTTCTACTGCAATTTCTTGACTCCTTCCCCGAGAGTCTGGATACTTCTGTGTATGGACTTAAGGTATGAATGATTCATGCAGCACATGCCTCCAAAATCTTCACAACCATATCCTTGGGCTAATAGTAGGAAGTCTATTGTTGCTCTTTTTTGCAGTGTGGCCTGCCTGATGGCATCTACATCTGAGAGCAAGCCACTTAATACAAGGGAGGTGGCACTAGCTTGCTTACTCAGGAGGCATCTGAGATTGTCTAATTGCTATTGCTGCAGACAGCCAACATAGTAAAATAGAGGCAGCTATTTTCGTTTCTACTCCAAAATGTGACCTCATCATTGCAGTCAGATTCAAAATGATGTATAGATCTTTTTGCTCTATTTCTTTGGCTATTAATCATTTTTGTGCTGGGTGCTGACACAGTGAGCCTCTCCAAGCAACATGGCCCTCCTGTAATGTGTGATAGTATGACAAGCAGTACTCTGTTCCCACAAATGAGAAATGTCCCAGATGGCAACTACAACGGGGAATCACCAGGCAGGGTTTTAGCAAGGAGTATGACATGGATCAGGATGGGTACCACAAGAAGGAGTCCTTTAGGAGACATGTTCAGTGGAATAACCTGTGGATAGGACTTAAAAATTCAAAATTAAAAATGCTTAGAGAGCTAAGAAACTGGTGGTATTAATCAGAAGTGGCTAAGGGGCAAAAGAAGGCTATCCACAAGCCTCATTGTTCCTTTTCTGCAGGTTCTTCCCAGGTTTCATCCTGCTGAGCTTTTAGGTGTTCCTGTAGAGGCTGCAGACATGGTTTGATACTTTGCTGGAACCCAGTGAAGTTCTTTATCTGTAGAGACACAAGCATATCCGTTCCCCCAGGAAATTACTGGGAAAAGCCCTAATGTTTGGCTTGTTTCTAGATCTTTAATTACAGCTGGTGGTCTTTCTTCTAGCTCTGCTTGCACTGTATTGGAAAAATGTCAAATACTTAGGAGGTTAGGCTCCATAAATGAGTTGTTCAAGAAATTAAAAACATATGTAGCCTTACTGAGCTTCCCTGTAGTGGACAAGATTTCCATTCCCCTTTTTTTTGTTTTCTTATAAATAGAACAATCATCTACATGAAACGGAACAGAATAGACATTAACATTAGCATAATCCAAATCTCCATTTCCCACAGCCTAAGATTAAAACTGTCCTCATAGGCCAGTGGGGTGGTTCCAACCAAACTTGTTACCTCTTCCTTCTGTTGGACTAAAAACAGTAAAAGAAAAGTAAAAGTAAAGAATTCTTAAAAACTTTAACATACAACATAACAAACAAGGTAACAATGCTAGCATTGCGACAATAACTAACAGTATAAACAAACTTGTAAACTTGAAAGTTGTTATCTAACTGCACTTACACTTTCTCTGCTAAACCAAATTAGTATCTCTATGTTTGCTTTCTTTTCAGGACTTTTTCACAGGGTATTAGTAGTCTATGCCTTCGGTTTTACTCTGCATATTTAATAGGTTTCCTGTTAGTGTTGTTTCAATAACAATGGAGTTTTATTTGTACCCTTGGCTGGTTTGCCTAGATTTATTAATTTGCCAGATGAACCAGAAATATCCAGCAGTTCCCATCCTTGAATAATATGTTCACACAATATTTAAATGAATTTAATTTTAGATTTGGAAATCCCATAACTGAAAATGTAAGATTTGTGGAAGAGGAAAATTAGACATTAATATATAATTTTATTTTGAAGGTAAAAACAATCCAGAAAATTGCTGTGAATTTTATACAGGAAAAATGATTAAGTTAAATCAAGATCCTTAAATATTACACAGTGTTATATTGAGATTCAATGCGTATTTTAAAAGAAAATGTTTTAGCACTGCTAATTATAACAGAAACAAATGCCAGAACCTTTTGTTGTGACCAAGGTTTGAAAATTTTACCGAAGGGATTTTTTTTCCAATGTTTTTCAATTCTGCAGCAGTCACCCTGGGCTCTCACACTGCTGGCAAGTGATTGGCCTCAGTGGGCTATAGCTGGGCCCACCACCCCCAGCCTGCCCCAGGCTTTCCCAGACAAGCCAGAGCTGGTTGTGGTGCACTGCCATGGAGTGCCAGGGCTGGCTGCTGGCTGGGCAGCAGTCCCTGTGCCAGCCTGCCCCCCAGCTCCTGTATAGCACTGGAAAAGCTGCTATTTTAGAAGCTAGCTTCCAATCTCCTTCTTTTACTGCAGCAGTCCTGATCTTTTGCCTTGGATCAATGAAACTGCTGGAACCAGAGGGGCTTAAGTCCTCTTCAGAGAATGGGAAGGCACAAACACAGCTGATCTACCCACTCAGCTGATCAAGGGAAGCCAGTTGATGTGATCTTTTTGAATTTCATAAAGCTTTTGATACTGTCTCTCAGGACTCTTCAAGCTTTTGATACTGTCTCTCAGGACTCTTCTGGAGAAAATGTCCAGCACTCAGCTGGATAAACACTTCATGTGATGGGTGAGCAGCTGGCTCATGGGTCAGGCACAAAGGGTTACAGTGCATGGAGTGACATCAGACTGGTGTGACCTGTCACTGGTGAGGTTCCACAGGGCTCTGTCCATAGCCCTGTGCTCTTCAACGTCTTCATGAATCCATAGCCCTGTGCTCTTCAACGTCTTCATAAATGACTTGGACACAGGACTGGAAGGGATACTAAGCAAGTTTGCAGATGATACAGACATAGAGAAGCTGTTGACTGCCTTGAGGGCAGAGAGGCCCTGCAGAGAGACCTTGACAAATTAAAGGTCAGGAAAATCATCACTGTGTGAAGTTTAACAAGGGAAAGTGCTGGATTCTTATCCAGCATCAGGGATGGGGCAAACCTGGGTGTTTGGACCACCTGGGAATGAGATACTGGAAAGCAGTGCCATGGAAAGGGGCCTGGGGGTCCTGGTTGAGGGCAAGTTGAACATGAGTCAGCAGTGCCCTGGCAGCCAAGAGAGTCACCCCTGTCCTGAGGGGCATCAGGGACAGCATCAGAAGCCAAGCAAGAGGGAATTGTCTGCTCTGCACTGGGGTAGCCTCAGCTCAAGTGCTGGAGGCAGTTTTATTACAGACATTAAGCTGTTAGGGAGCTTAGTGTCCAAAAGAGGGCAACCAAGGTGGTGAAGGGACTTAAGGAGAAGCTGTATGAGGAGTGATGGAGGTCACTGGGCTGTTCAGGTTGGAGAAGAGGAGACTGAAAGAAGACCTTATGGCAGTCTACAATTTCCTCATGAAGGGAAGAGGAGGGGCAGGCATTGATCTCTTCTCTGTGATGACCAGTGACAGGACCCAAGACAATGGCTTGAAGCTGTGTAAGTGCAGGTGTAGGCTGGGTATTAGAAAAAGGTTTTTCACCCAGGGAATGGTTGGGAACTGTAACAGCCCTACCCCCAGAAAGTTGGTCTGTGGTGTTCCTGACAGTTCAAGTTCTGTTGGTCTGGCAGAGAAGCATTTGAACAATATTCTTGGGCACAGAGTATGATTCTTGGGGGATGGTGCTGTGTAGGGCTGGACTCAAAGATCCTTGATAACCCCTTCCAACTCAGCATACTCTGTGATTCTGTGATTTAATTGCTGAAAAGTTGTAATATTTTAAAAGAGCAGAGTCCTTTACAAAAATATTTTTGTATTTGTTTAGACTCATTTTGTTTCTATCCTCCTGTTGTCTTCTCTCTCCTCACCACCTGAAATCATAGCTCCAGCACAGACATCTCAAGGAGATGGCAGAACTTTCCTCCTGATCTATGGCATCTTCAGTAAGGATTCACATACTTCTCTCTTCCTTCCCCTCCCACTTCCCACTTCAGCTGATGGAGATGAGAACTGGAAGTAAAATGTAATCACAGATTGCACAGTAAAAAGATCACAGGTTGAGGTAAGAACAATTTACTGGAAACAGAAATGAGATAAGAAAGCCTGCAGATGTACCTTCATTATGCTAGGCCACAGGGAATGGAAACTGTAAGCCTTGAAGTCTGTATCCTCCCTTCCAGCTATGCATGATCACATCTCGAATAGTAAGGAGGCAGCTGCAAATGAAAAAAATTATAAGTATTGTAGCAGATACTATCTTCCCTACAGTGATTCATCACCTCTTGCCTATCATATTTCAATATTATATAGTCCTTATAATGCAGAGCAAAGCCTCAGAAATAGGGGTGGTCAGAATCTTGATGACTCAATTCAAACATTTCTCAACTTCTTTTGACTGTCAGAAAAATGGACTGAGAACAGCAGGACAACCCTTTCCTCTCAACAAACTGTGTAATAATCTGAAATGAAACTTATTTGGCAGAAAATAACTTGTGCATTAAAGTATTACTTTGAAATTTGATGGTCAAACTTGCATTTCCTTCGTTGGAAGTTTTGTATCTGTCTTTTGATATTTTTGTGTTGCATGTACTCATGTTAGCCCCTAGTAGTCCCTCATGTCAGAGTAGCTCACTTGCTTCTGGCTGATTACCTGATGATCTTTTAGGAAATGCCTGTAGGTCAAGAAAATATAATTATTTCTTCAGACTGTGGTCTGTGTATTTCAACAAGGTGATATTAACAACCTGACACAGTGACATAAACCTTCATCCAATTCATTAAACCAGATTATGACATATAAGGGGATAAGAAGGAAAAACAGTCACCAGAATCAGACTTGATATTTAAACTTTTTAATAAGGCAAACCAGAATGACATTCTTGAGGCAGTTCCATCTTGCCATCTTAACATCCCCACCTCATCAGTTAAATTGCATGCTGCTAATGATAGCCATGGTATGCTCAGAGAGGTTGACAATAATGCTGTTTTGAAGGTGTCCCAATCTTAACAGATGGTGTTTGTGTAAAGTAAGGTGCTGGATTTACTCTTATTTTCCTAGCAGCACTTACTATGGTGTGCTGGTTTTAACAACTAGCAGGAAAGTAAATTTCAACAAGGCCCACCCTTTTGGCCCACCCATTATAATAATGGAGGAACTGTAGGGAGAAAATATGAAGTGGAATAACAACTTACTAAATTTGTGATAGCTGGTGCAGTATTAATGGCAAAATGTGTATAAAAGAGAGAGGGATCCACAAAAAGTTATTCACCACTAGGAAAAAAATGGCTTCCCAAAAGCAGTGCTGTCCACATGGTTCCATACAAAATCAATACATTAAGAAGAGATCTCATGGCTTAAAATTGGCTAATGCCTCAACCTCAAGTCTGAAAAATACCCAAAACAAATCACAATGAACTGGGACAAAAAAAAAAACAACCCTTGGGAGTTAGATCATCCATGTTGTGCTGCCTGCTGTTTTTCTGGATCAGTGTGCTTGTCTGTGTTCAGCACTGCTTGCTCAGCTTGACTCTGTTCTGGGGACACACATGCTCTTGAAGGAGTGGAGGGAGTGGTGGTGGCAGAGAGGGAGCTGGGGCTGCCACCTGATCCCAACACCTTTCTCTGGAGAGAGCCAGGCAAGGTTGTGACTTTCCAGCACTTGACTCTTCCTGATGTGACCTGATGTCCGCACCAATGATACATGTGGTATGAAATTAAAAAGCCCTAAAAACTTCACGCCCTTTTCTCTGTAGCCAGGACATACGGTTGCAGTTTTGTATCAATATCAGCTCCAGTTTCCATTACTAGGAGCCTCTGTTCTGTAGAGATGCCATGGTGTATTCCTCAAGGAGTGCAAGTTTGTTGTAGCATTCCAACTTGCTTCAGTGGCAGCTCAGCAGGACCAGCCAGGCCACTCAAAACAGCAAATATGCAAGATGGGAGCTCCTGATTACCGCAAAAAGCAAAATAAACAAAAACTATGTACTCTGGCTGCCTCTAATGTCAGATTCTTAAGGGAACAGATCATGCTGTTGAAAAAGTCCCAGGATATTTTTAACTGGTTTTATTCAGAAAGCAAACATGATGAATAACAGGCAAGGATATTCACTTAGATCGTGATTCATGAATTGCCCAAATGAAAGCTGTGATAATATTCATCAAGGATGGTGAAAAGATAAGGACATGCCCAGCTGTTTTGTTTTTTTTTTTATTCTGACTACATTTGTACAAAACTAGCTTCATTAAGTAACCTTTCCAACAAAGCTTTTCTTAAACATACAGTCCTTTTGTCTCCCTCTATCAAGATAAATATTTTCTCCTTGTTCTTAAGGCAAACTTTCCCTCTCACTGAGACTCTTGCAATGTGACAAGCCTGCATAATCCACTGCATGAAAAGATCTCAAATATAATTTGCATGATGTTGAGCAGCATAAAATGACATTTCAGGCAGAGGTATTTGAAAAATTCTGAAGAATAGATTTTGTTTTTCAACCAGAGGAGGTTTGCAATGAGCCAAAGCCAGATGAGAGCATTAACATTTAGGTGAATAGTGACAGTGATGGTAAGGGAAAAGGGTAAGTATGAAAGGAACGAACAATTATGATAATTTTGTTTGTTTCTCAAAAGATGAGATAATATGGATGACAGAAAACAAATATGCTTCTGCAAGTAGTTATTCCTTTATTTTCAAGTAACATTATGTGTCATATGTGCATATTTATAAAGGAAGCCTATTTTCTTATGTGTTTGCAATAACACATGAATTAAAATAGCACACAGATTTAAAAAAAAACCCAAAAAAACATTCCTCTGTAAGATGTCCTAGCTTTTCATTCTAATAGTGCTTAGCAGAATAGGTAATGACTCTCAGTTGTTTTTGTTGTTGATGGAAGACACCACTGAAAACAGACCACAATGTAAAATAACATGTCTTGATAGTGTCATGTACATAATGTGTTTAGGTATTCAGGAAAAAAAAACTCCTACAGCCCCCCAAACAGCTCAATCTTTTGTATCACAGACCTTAAGAAGGTAAACACTTTGATAATAATCTATCCATGTTTTTAAGGACTTGAACCATGATATAGGCAGTTGAAGCTCCTACTTGACTTCAAGCTTCCTCTGACAACTTGACCAGGTCACTTACATCAGATTACTTTGAAAAAATGAGATAATCCCTCTTTCACATTTTCATATTTCAGGCTGGGGCTGAGCAGACGGAGAGCAGCCCTGTGAGAAGGCCCTGGGTGTGCTGCTGGGTGAGAGGCTGGACATGACCCAGCCATGGGCACTCCCAGCCCAGAGAGCCAAACGTGTCCTGGGCTGCATCCAAAGCAGCGTGGGCAGCAGGGGAGGGAGGGGATTCTGTCCCTCTGCTCTGCTCTGGTGAGAGCCCACCTGGAACCCTGCATCCAGCTCTGGGGTCCCAGCACAGGAAGGACATGGATCTGCTGGAGTGAGTCCAGAGGAGGCCAAGAAGATGATCAGAGGGCAGTAGCACATCTTCTCTCCTAAAAAGACAGGCTGAGAAGGTTGGGGCTGTTCAGCCTGACGAACAGAAGTCTCTAGGGACACTTTAGAGCAGCCTTCCAGTATGTGAAGTGGGCCAACAGGAAAAAAAGAAAAGGACATTTTACAAGGGAGAATGATTTTAAACTGAAAGGAGTGTAGGTTAAGACTAGATATGAGGAAAAAATCCCAGTTTTTTCCCCCTCTCACCTCTGGGAGGTGAGGTACTGTAACAGGATGCCCAGAAAATATGTGGGTGCCCCATCTCTGGCAGTGTTCAAGGCCAGGGGTTTTGAGAAACCTCGTATAGTAGAAGGTGTCCCTGCTTATGCCAGTAGAGTTGAAACTAGGTGATCTTTAAGATCTCTTCCAACTCATATAATTTTATGGTTCTATGGTTATATGATATTTGGGTGGCAGAGTTGCTGACACAAGAAGCAAACTCCATGTTCTCAAATGAAGAGTCCCATTTGAATGTGACTTCTATGGAGGTCCACCAGGTCATATAACACCTTATCCATGGGGTACAGCTGAATAATGAAAATTTTCAGTAAAAGTCAAGTGGAGACTATTGTCAAAATACACTGCGGCAGTAATCTTTGTCAGGCATTGTTGAAAACTAATATTGGGAAGGTAGGTTGCCCAGATGTGGAGTTCTGATGCTGAGGAAAGAATGCCTCTCTGCCACAGAGATCTAGCATTGCCTTTGCCAGTCATCCCAAAATGAACTGACACCACTAGCAGGCAAGCATCCAGATATGAAGGTATGAAGCCCAGGCCTCATAACTAAGCTTGTCTTTCAAACCTAAGCTCCAAATCCAAGCTTGACTTTTCCCCATCATCACGCTGGAAGGATTCTCCTTCACACAGGCAGTACTGAGGGAGTGACCACTCTACACTGGTTATTTGAAAAGTGGGAACAATTTTCTAGGTACTTTGAAGAGCATGTTGCAGCGCTGGATTTGATTGTGAAGGTTATGTGTGGAGCAGACTGACACTTGGTGCTGCCAGGGCACTGTGAGAAATGCAATAGAAGGTATTAGCATCACCTCAGGCAGTGCAGAGCATATTACTTTCCTTATCCATAACTTTTCATTCTGGGACAAAGTTGGTATTGTGACAGCAGCAGAAAGATAGTATTTTATTTTACACAATTCAATAACCATTGTATTTTTCCTTGCAATATGAATACACAATGCCTATCTATCCTACACCATTGCCATTCCATCAGAAACCTTTTTGACCCCATCAGCCTGGGCTTCAAGAACAAAACCCACTGCTGCTGCCCAAGAAATTCCCAGCCCAGTGCATTGGAGCACATCTACCAGACCTACAGGGGTGGCAGCTGTCCCACCAAGAACTTTCATGAGTCTGGCAGCTGCCAGTTGCCAAAAGTAAATATCAAGCATTTCTCTTTTATGCAGTCTGATTGAAATGGGTCTCTTTTTTTGGCTCATACAAGTCTCTGGACATGTTTTTTGCTACAGATATTTCATCTGACCCATTTCTGCAATGTGACTCACTGTATTTATTTCTATTAGGAATGGTGGTGGCCAAATTCTTACCACAGCTGGATATCTCTGCATCTCTACCCTTTATGGTTCCAGTTCAGTCTGAAGAAAATGTAATAAATATCATTGGGAAGTAATGGAATACTTTTTCAGAGGTGATCATCATGCGAGTCAGGACAAAATATATCCTGAGATCTTCACTTGGAGTAGCTTGTGCTCATTTGACTTATAAATTTGTCTCTGCAAGAGGAAAAGAGATAGATTTCAGGCTGTCTTATTTAATAGAAACCCACTGACAACTTTGAGGGCTGTGTAGGTTTTGTTCTTTTCCAGTGCAAGGCCAGACCTATATTCTACAGATAAAGGTTGACCTGCAAAACTCATTTCCCTGTGAAGTCTGAGATTTTTGTCTACAGAGGGTGGTACTTCAGACAAAATGTCATAGCATAATTTTATCTATCTTTGTGCTTTCAGCCTTGAAATAAACTCTGTTACCATATAGGTTTATTTCAGAAAATAAAATAAAGCAAATGTTAAAAAAGTCCAGTTGTGCTTGAAAGCTTATGTATTTTTCCAACTTTATCAGTTGCTCTAGTAACAGATACTATCATTCTTGTTCCCTCATAAACCATGTCTTGTTTTTTTCCTTACTTTGCTTTTGAAAATGTACAGAGAGAAGGAGATGGTTTGAAGGGAGATTAGGTAGCTGAAGTACTTTCTTCATATAAATACATTTTTTAGCTAGGCCAAACAAATTCCATTGAAACAGTATGTCATTTAACATTTCTTTCTTTTACTGTCTCTTAGATGGTTCTCTCTCTACTCAGCAAATCTTAGTCTTGTTCAAATATGTGCACTGACTGTTTTTTCCTAAACTAATGTAGTTATTATCTCCACAATACTCAGGGCATTTGAGTTCCAAGGAGTTACAGATTTATTGCATAGCTTTGGTAGGTACCGTAACACAGTTATGTTTGTGCCAAATTTTTGTGGCTCCTCTTGACTGGACTCAATTATCATATTTTCTATCAGAACCAAGAGTCGCCTGAGGAGCATCCATCTGTATAAAAAAATCTATTTGCAAAACCAAGCCATAAATTCTCTTCAAGGGCATCAATGCTGTTTTCAGCTGCACCTACACAAATGGTGTAGGCAGATACATCTTGCTATGTCTGCCCTTGCTGATGGCAAGACACAAACCAGCTCTCTTCCAGGAACTGAATAGTCTCATTCAGCATATGTACAGCTCTGAGCTAATGCATTTAAATGGCTCTGGCCTGCAGCCAGCATTAGGCACACAAGTAAAGCAGACGTGACCATCTGTACCTGTCTGTGCCTCCAAAAGTAGAGTGCTTGTCATTGTTTCCAGCATTCATGGTATTGAACACTTGCTAAAACCTTTAAAATATTCTCTTTGCTCTTGATGTGCCCAGCTGCATGTCAATTAATCCAGCAAAGGAAAAAGCACAACTCCTGCAGCAACCAGTTATTTATTTCCCATGTTTTACTCTCCAATTTTTTCTGCTTTTACTCAGCTGAATCAGCTTAATTCTTTGATTATTATTTTTTGTTCTATCTAGGTTTACTCTCAGCTGTTTCCTCTATCATATGCAGGGTGCAAAAGGGTAAGTTTATTTCAGTTTTGCTCACCCTCAGACAACTATCCTTTCAGTGGACTTTGCTGCAGGTAAAATTGAGCTTGAATTGAAAGGCTGTTGTGTTCAATACCATGGCTCAGACCTTTACATTATGCTCTTGTACAGTAATGTCCACTGGGCTTCTCTGTGTAGTAAAATCTGTTTTAAAATTTGCTTCAAAATTTCTGCCAGGATGCATTTTTCATTTAGTTTTTCCCCCAAACCACAATTTTGTTCAGTGGCGTGACACTTGCCTTGCATGGCTCATGCCCTACTGTCTGTGTGTGAGGAAGTCCCTGCAGAACTTGACATAGTGAGCTCTAAAGAAATGCAGGTGAGTCACATTAGAAGCAACATCTGGTTCTAGGAGATCATAAGACAAGACAGCCTTGAGTTTTTGAATCTGTGACACTGTTCTGGGTATTCACAGTCTTCTTTCATTCATAACCAAGGACTTCAAGATCTTTGCAATGCACCATTTGTGTAGAGGTAACCTTAATATATGTTAGATCACAAATGTTCTCACTGTAAGGCTTCTGTACCCTACATAGTCAGGGCACAAATGTAAATAAGAATTGAAGTCTTGTGGTCTGGCCATGAAGTAAGCAAGTGTGACAACTGAAAAACTTATCTTTCCAAGTGGATACTTTTCTCTTGGAAACTGATCAGAAAGGATTCATAATCATTAACTTTAAAAATCACACTCAGATGGTAATTTTTTTCCTTCAAGCCTAATGTCCCAGTTGAGAGTCATTTCCCATTTCAAGAACCAAGTGCTCACTGATCACAAGAGATGGCAGGCACTGATGGTGATCTGACATGGGCACAGGATAAAGACTCTCTGACAGGTCTGTTCCAAGCGACCCTATGCATCCAGCAGGATGAAGCAGAGGGATTCTTGAGGAAACATGCACCATTGACAGAGCAGAAAGAATTCAGTTTCCCCCTAACTGCCTTGTACCTTTCATTTTTATAGTCCAATTCCTCTGAAAGTCCAAAAATAAGTGACTGTGTATCTTACCTTATAGTCTGATGTGATGTGGGTTTAAGAGTTACTTATGTAGGATGTGAAAGTTTTCTAAGAACCATGTAAGTACCCTGCTTCTGTACCACACATATATTTCCTCTGAATGATACATTGGCTAAGGAGATCTAGTCCAAGACCAGGAACTTGTTAATATGTAAAGCAAAGGGGGATAAAGAGAGTAGGGATAGCAAAGGGGCACCAAGAAATAACACAGGCACAATTTTCCACCCCTGTCAAACCTTTCTCGTCTGCATGCAAGGTTGAAGTTCTCCTCAGCCTGTCTGAAAGTGCCAGAACAGGGCTTTGCTTCATCTGCCCCTGGCTAGAGTGAAAAAAGCTAGTGATAGATATGTTGAATGCAACCCATACTGGCACCTGTGTTATTGGGAGCTTCTGGTTGTTTCATATATCTAAAGTTGTTCCACAGGTTTAGCAAGCAAGCAATGGTCATAGTAGGCTTCTTGATTACTCAAAGAATTTACACTTTTGCAGCTTTTTGTGACACATTTGAATGCCATTCAAGCATTCCTAATCCAATTGCATGGGATCAATTCAAAATATGCAACAATTGTGTAGTATAGCTTCTCTTCTAAGTATTTCTTCTCATCTAACAGTTCTCAGAGCACTTGGTCAGTCTTACAGCAGTCTGCCTGGTTATCATACCTGCTTATCATAGGGGTGTTCTTTCATACTCAGGTTGACCGGATTTTGATGTACAAATCAAAATTCAAAGAGACTAGCTCAAGTGCTTGCAGGTAAGTGGTAAGAAGCAAGAAGGATGAAAGCAACCAAGGGCGGGAACTCCAGGTTTTAGACTACAGCTGATCTCTTAATTACCTTTGGTCATGTTCTGGAAAGGAGGAATATACTTCCAATATATAATTATCTTTCTCTGCACACTTCCAGAGAGGGAGAAAGAGCCACTTGAGGATATTGTAGAGGGATTATGGAGGTTTATCATGCTTCCATTTTTCAGGAGGTCGGTCCTGTAATGTTATCAACATACACTGCTTTTGCAAGTTAAGATTTATTAAAAGCACTTGCCTTGTTGGAGCTCTTTCATGATCAGGAATGTCCAACAAATTTGGGGAAAGAAATGAGGAGTCTGAGGTGTCCTCTGGATCATTTATTGCACTGAAGGCTTCCCTCAGAGAGGGGCTAAATAATAGCAAGGTCCAGTAAAGGAGCTCCTTATGGAGAGAGCAGAAAGGATAAAATTTGACAGGAGGAGAACAGCAAACAATAAAGGTTTTCAGAAGGAATATCGTGGCCGTCAAGATACACAGAGCTTAAGAAGTATTAAAGAGGGGGTGTAAAAATGAATGCATGATACAGTTAGTGCTCCTGCAAGTGTGGTATAAAACCAGACAGCCTATTACAGCAGCTCTAAGGACACAGACAGTACCACTTTGCACAAGTCAGTGCACTAATTTGCTGCTTACTGTCTTCTACCAGATACTCCGTGTTCCACTTCAGCTTTGCTCCTTGACTATATAAATCATATCCATACTGATTTTCTCCCTCTTGCCTTTTAGGCTCTGTGTCCTTGTCTGATGAAGAGCCACACTGTCGCCCTCAAAGACTCAACACCCAGGGAAACATGCAGTACCCAGGACAAGGCAGTGACTCATCTAATCCCTGCTGGTGCTGGCCTGCTTTGTAAAAGCACTCGTGTTCCTATTATGTCTGTGTGGCATGGCATTGCACAGAGAGGAGATGCTCCTGCAGAAATCCCCCAGACAGGCCAGCACTCCTGGTCCAAGCCTAGGGTTTCAGGAGTTATCTCATCCTCCCCATTGTGCAAGACCAGCACTGCACACTTAGTTCACTGGCCCTGGGACCACACTATAATTTTGACTTATTAATTAGAACTATAGCCCCTGCAAACTTTATGTCAATAATGTGTGTGGCATCTCACTTGGAGGGCAGTGAGAGTCTTAAACTCAGAAACAATATTATTTACTTTATAAAATCAACAAAATAACCCCAAAAATGCCAGAGCTGGCATCATGAAGATTGATGTGAGTCCACAGGAATGAATCCTTTTGCTGTGTTCCTTGCCTAAAAATGCAAGGTTAATCCAGCTGCTTCCAGTGGGGCAAGTAGGAGATTTCTTCTAGAAAACATGCCAGGGACTTCTGTATTTTTCTTTTTAGTGCCTTCCAGCAAAGATCATCTGCTAGGACCATCTGGATGTCATGAGTTCAGTGAATTTCCTCTGTTAAAGGTAAACTTGGCTGTATGTAGAGTAGCAGATGCCTTTTCTATTTGTGGCTGACATTGCTTGCATTTTCCTGTTGACCATAACCTGTGATAAAAATTTTGTTTGTCTTCACCTTACCTTCCCCATTCTGCCCTTTTTCAGAGAGATTTTTAAAAAAAAAGCATCATTTGTAGAATTATTTAGGAATGGTGAACCCAAGAAGAGCCTTTATTTTCCACCACTCATTTGTAGTATGGAGCACATCCAGCCCCAAAGACAGAATAATGAAATGATAATGTAGAGTTTCTTTAATAATTGGTGCCTTTTCTTCAGTGACACTTTCTGTTTGTGGCACTCTGTTGGTTGACTTTCA